AATGGTGAAGTTCAGAAAAGCTCCTCAAATGTTTTCATGTACATGAAGTGAGGAACACTTCACCTACCTGAAAAAACCTTTATTTCTGTGAAGAGCGAAACAAAATGTCTCCATAAATAGTTGATTTCTAGTGACATTCACAAAATTGGAAATCTGGCCAGTGTTCATGACATATTACTACATGATAATATCCAGGTGTATGCAGCAACCATCAGACATATATAAAAAATTAACTGAGTAACAAAATATAGGTTCCTCAAAAAATTAAATATAGAATTACCACATAATCCAGCAATTCCACTTCTGAGTATATACCCCAAACATTTGGAAGCAGGATCTCAAAGAGCTATTTGTACACTCATGTTTATAGCAGCATGATTCATAAGTTAAACATGGAAACAACCTGAGTGTCCATTGACCAATAAATGGATAAGCAACATGTAGTATATAAATATAAGGGAATATTATTTAGCCTTAAAATGGAAGGACATTCTCCAGTATGCCACAACATGGGTGAACCTTAAGGACATCATGTTAAGTGAAATAAGCCAGTCACAAAAAGACAAATATTGTGTGGTTCCACTTATATGAAGTACTTAGAGTAGTCAAATCATAGAGACAGAAAGTATAAAGGTGGTTGCCAGGAGCTGGTAGGGAGGAAAGAATGGGGAGTTATTGTATAATAGGTATAGGTTTTCAGATTTACAAGATGAAAAGAGTTATGGGGATGGGTGGTGGTGATGGCTACACAACAAAATGAGTGAGTTTAATGCCACTGAACTATATGCTTAAAAATGAATATGATGGGCCCAGGTTACAGGCTTGATTGCCAGTAGGGGGTGTACAGGAGGCAGCCAATCAATGATTCTCCCTCATCACTGATGTTTTTATCTCCCTCGTCCCCCTTCCTCTCTCAAATCAAGAAGAATATATTTTTTAAAAAATAAAGAAAAAATGTTGTGAAAGTTGTAAGCCAGGACAAGCAAAATAGGGAAACTGAGATAGTTAACAGCATTTTGCAACTAGAAAATCTAGTTGCTGAGTAGTCTGCAGCCATCTAGTAAATCCTATTTTCCCTAAACCAAGGACACTTAAAAGTAAATGATTTGCACTGTTCCTCCCCAGCCAGAGGGTAAATAGCTTAAATCAATCTATTCAATAAGACAGACAGCAGAAATCCAATTATCCCATTTGTTACCACACCCAAGGACAAATGAAGTTAAGAGAATTAACCTCATTTTGGAACAATTTGGTAAATTATACCTTCATAAGCAATATGGAAGCTTTTATATTTTTCTCCCTACCTGATCCCTCCAGAATTTGGCAATTCTTACTAAGTATGTCATAAAGTCGCTTCACTTAGTGGGGAAACACGGGAGAGGAGGGGTGCACCCTGAGACTCTTCTTGTTCATCCCCCCTCCCATGAGGTCAGCCGCAGAGCAGTGCGGGCAATGACAATCAGTGGTTTTCTGAGCACTTCTGCCATCTGAGGAGTGTCTTATTGTTTATGACATTTTAAAAGGGTCCTTATGGAAATATGAATAGTAGGAAATATGAATCTAAAGCCTTACAAATAGGCTGACTAAAGACTACAGGCCTGACAGAGCGAACACACAAGGACACCAAATGGCCCACCGCCAGGAAGTGGCAAAGCCTAAAGCCAACAGGATGTGTGCCTGTGCCCAGGCCTCAACATCTCCACCTGCACAGATGCCAGTGCTCCTCACTGACCCAGGGAACTCAGGGAAAGTGCATATCTAGCACCAACACCTCACCTATTTCCTAGCTACCATTTACTGAGCACTTGTTATGTACCAGGCACTGGGTTGGGTCCTTAACACTATCTCATTTAAACCTTAGAAAACACTGGGAAGCAGGAACTATCACCACCCACCCCCCTTTATTATCCCAATTTTTGAACTAGACTCTGTGGTTGTGGGAGTTGGCACAAAACCACAGTTCTAGGAAAAGGAAGGGCCAGGGTTTCAATCATGTCTTTGTGACTTTAAACCTCATTCCGGCTCAGCTGTGGCTCAGTGTTCTACCTATGAACCAGGAGGTCACAGTTCAATTCCCAGTCAGGGCATATTCCTGGGTTGTGGGGCTGATCTCCAGTGTGGTGCATGCAGGAGGCAGCGAATTGATGATTCTTTCTCATCATTGATATCTCTCTCTCTTCCTCTCTTGCATCAATAAATTGTATTAAAAAACCAAAAAAACTCCTTCTGTTGCCCAGTCTCTGTGGAGCTAGCAGCCATGTCCACCCATGAACCAGGGCAATGACGGCAACCCCAAGAATATCTGTCCCCAGTTGGAAGCCCCGTGGCCTCCTATCTCGGTGCCTCAGGATGGGGCTCTGTGAGTCCTGATTAGGGGAAAGAGAGGTGGTTTGGGTGGAAACCTCTTTAGGATAGAGCTTACTTGCTCCCATTGGGCCTCTCAGAGTTCAGGAAAAGATGGGTCTGAGCAGGAAGAAGTGGTCCCAAGTCGGGGGATTA